ACTGTTTCCTGATCCTGGTAGAGTAGACTACCATGCCGGCTGTTCTGACTCACAGACTGTAAGTATATTTTTTATATATAAAGGATTTGCCACTGATGATTCAAACGCGAGTTTTGAGCAGTGTGGAGTAGCGCTTGTTGTTTGTCATTTCTCCGATCACAAATGCAGACAAGGTTTTATGTTTACGCGGCGCGATGCAACGTGTAAAAAGACAGTATAAGTCATTATAATCCGTAATTATGTCCCCACTGGATGCAACAAATGCCTCGTTTATAATGGGTTTTTAATGTTTTTGGTTCATCGCTCCGGCCAGACACGGTATCAACAGTATGTGAGGGGCGTAACATTTCCGTCACACGCTTGAGGTATTCGGCCAATCACAACGCACTGGATAGCTGGCCAATCAGAGCACACCTCGCTTTTCTGACCGATGAGATTTGTAAAAATCGACGTATTTCACAAAGGCGGGGCATAGAGGAGAAACAATAATGTACAGTATGTGGAAAATAATGTGTTTTTTTAACCTTAAACCGCAAAAACACATTTCATTACACCAAATACTGTTCTTTTTAGCAACATCATATGACCCCTTTAAAAAATGTCATCCAGATCGGTCCCATTTGTAGAACAACACATTTAAACTGATTGACATTCAAGACCACAACCGCAGTGCAGTCCTTTCTAATGTAAAATGCTTAATTACAATCTCTTCAAGCCTTCATTCTGTAAGAATGATGATAATGACTGTTATAGTATTGTGTGAACATATCGTTTCATATGTGTAACCAACTCACCCTCATGCTGTGGATCTGAACTTTTGTTTAGTGAGGTCTTCTAAAAACAGACACATGGTTTACTGCCGAATCTTCAGGGTATACAAGGCCAGTTTTCTTCAGTGATTGCACCAGCACTATATCACCGTGGCAACCTCCCTGCGGCCATAGCAGGCATATTTAAGCAGAATTAGAGGCAGCCACGGCATAGAGGTTGAGAAACAGGCATTTAGTCAATGCTGCTGTTCTACTCAACCATGTTAGATGGCATTAAATACTGTAGGAAAAGAGAAGCAAAGGTACGTCAAAGAGCCAAAACGTTTTTATTGTCAGTACAGGCGGCTAACGGGCACCTTACATGTTACAAGTACAGTAGTGTTTTCAAGTTCAAGTATGTGTGAGTTGTGTGTGTACGTCAGACGTTTGCAAGTTGATGCCACAGGCAGGAGGGCATAAAACTCTCCATCTTGTCTGCAAAAAAGCCCAGTGGTGCAAAGAGGGTGCTGAAGAACTGCAGAGAGAGAAAGAGAGGAGAGAGAGAAAACAGTCAGATGGATCTGAACTAATAACCACACACTTCTTAAAGATTTCATGCAAGACATTTAAGAAACAGATTATTTACATATAAAAGAAAAAATATGTATATAGAGAGAGATAAATATAAGAAAATACAACATTTTCAGGATTAACGTTTACATATTCAAGATTTACATTTATTTATTCAGAGTTATATATATATATATATATATATATATATATATATATATATATATATATATATGCGAGCTCTTTTTTTTAGAGTCTATTTTTATATATA